TAAGGGGACCGACCTGTGTTAAAAGCTTAAATTCAAAAAATAGCTATATAAATCGAAATAGTGGAAATTTTTTTTTTGTGATCGTAAAATATGTTTATTAGACACCTGATTGACCAAAAAAAACGTCTATCCAAGCTCTGAAATGCCAATTACGCTTATTTTTTACTAAATATTATAATAGGATTCACTTGCCACGCGATTCTGACGTGAGCTTTTCATCAATATTGATCTATGGGGTCTCAAAGTCTTCAGAAAAGTACCCTCATCCACTTAAGCGGAGCAGAATTTGAAAAAAATAGTTTGTTTTTCTTCCAAGAGCTTTAATATGGCTTCTAGTGTTGATAAAATACTAATTTTCTCAAAAATTGGCACATTTTGACGTGTATATAAAGTTGTACGCAATTTTTCAAAATTCTGCTCCGCTTAGGTGGACGAGAGTACTTTTCTGAAGATTTTGAGACCCCATAGATCAATATTGATGAAAAACTCTTTTCAAGATCATGCGGCAAGTGATTTATAACACAATATTTCGTCTTATGAAAAAAGTGATGTAATTGGTATTTCAGAGCTTGGGTAGAAGTTGTTTTTGGTCAATCTGGTGTAGAATGAACATATTTTACTATCACAAAAAAAAAATTTCCACTATTTCGATTCATATAGCTATTTTGAGGTGAAGCTGAATTTAAGCTTTTAACACAGGTCGGTCCCCTTAAGGGGACATTCCCCTTGAAAATGGAAAAAAAATCGATATATTTTTTTTTACTTTTAAACGTTCTTTAACATAATAAAAATATCCTGTTAAAATTTTAGAACCTAATTCATAAAGGAAAAAAAGTTATGCCCGATTACACGAAGCGTCTAGCGTGCTCGATATGTATAGAACAAAACTTCGGACGCGTTTTTCTCAAAACTACTTTTTTTCAGCTCTTGTCAGCGATTGAGAAAAAACTACTAGTCCGATCTTTACGTTTAATATCTCGTTTTAATCGTTATAACTTTCTCTTCAAGACAAACCTCTAAAAAGTGGAAAAAATAATCCCCAATTTTTTTTATGGGGGTGAATTCACCCCGAAAAGAGCATTTTTTTAGAAAAACTCGTGCCAAAATCGTAAAAATTAAAAATATAAATTTTTTAGAGGTTTGTCTTCTAGAGAAAGTTGTAACGATTAAAACGAGATATTAAACGTAAAGATCAAACTAGTAGTTGTTTCTCAATCGCTGGCAAGAGCCGAAATACGGATTTCAGCAAATTCCTTCTACAACCAACAAAATAGGTCTTAAGTCCCATAAGAAAACCTTTTTTTGTAGTTTAATATGTAAGGAATGATAAACAAAAGGTCTGGAATGAATAAAAATTATAGTTTTCAAAAAAAAAATTTAACAATTGATCTTTTTTACAATTTGCAATGGGAATGTCCCCTTAAGTCATCTGATAAAAAAATGAACTTTTTTCCAGGGCAACATCTTTACCCGTCCAAATAAATTCTCCAACCTGCGCATATTCACACGGAATTTCCTTTGCTTTTTGTAGAACTTTATTGAAAATCTTGAGAAAAAAGATTTTATCATTTACGCAGATACTTTTTTTATGCAGTTTCATTCTGTTCGGCTGAGGAAGTAGGAGGATCAGATCGATTGAGAAAAAATATCGTGAAATTATAGGTATAAATTCAGTTCATAACATGTGTAATTATTTCGAGACAGTGTGAATATTCACATGTAGCCGTAGCTATGTACCATTGGCCGTTGTGAAATTACAAAAGAAACACACGCAGACAATGTAAGGAACCGATAGCAAGATGCATAGCTGCGATAATCCACTGCAGGACTTGTAAAGTGCTGTACTTAGCTTCACGTGTATAAAAATGTCGCACGTGCTCTCGACTGACTGACGCTTATGTAAAGACGTCGATCTCTTACCCTCCCGCTGACATACAGCACCGGCCACATGCACGCCTTATTGACCGAGTGTACAGCTCCAGAGACTTTGTATTAAAGAGACATTGAGAAAGTCAATTTGACGTTTTGTGCGCTCTGTGTAATACGCCAGCGTGATGACAAGTTTTAACCGTAATGAAATACACTTGGACGTTTTCTGAATTAGTCGCTCTCGTGTGCCGTTACCGTTGATCAAGCGCAATTTCGTTTGATTGAGTTTGAAGCTTTTGCCTTGCTTGCCTCGCGTAACCTGAATCACTATATATATACAAGGTCTATCATTGAAGAATTTTTTGGGGTAAACAAACAGAGCATTTCATACGTTCATAATTGCAATTCCACATCCGTAAAACCTTGTATTAGCTTTAAAGTAAGTCTGTGTATTTTTTTTTAATAGAGTTTCACTACTTGTAATTTGATACATCTCATAGGTACAGCTTATACGGTTGTTTGATATAAAGTGAAATTATACGATGCGATTGTATCTCATTCAAAACAAATTTAAGAGAAAAAAGTCATATTGAGTGCATGCCTTACCTTGGAAAGTGTAGAGAAAAACTTATCTTTGGCATAACTGCAAGTAACCCTGCAATTATTTCGTTTGGGCCGAAAGAAAAGCCATACGTCAACAGAGTACGCTAAAGCGCTAATAAAATGGATTACCTCAACCGTGTCAAATGATTTTTACTTGGATTAAATTCATAGGATCGTTGCTCTTGTTTGTGTCTTTGGCTGATTCGCCTTGAGCCTTGAACTGTGAGTTTTTTCCCGCAAGTTTTAATGTGACCTTGTCAGGCATCATTTGCTCCGCACAATCTTAATCTTAAACCACAGTCTTTGTCAAGAAATTGACCAAAGGTGCATACAGCATCTATACTTTGCACAGAGTATGGATACTTTCACTTGAGGACGTTATAAAATGTAACGCATGTCACGATGAATAATATTTACCGGGTGATCGATCGGTAAAGAGAAAAATTGTTGCACATGCGCTTCCTGCTTCGAAGATTATAGTTCAGGAGGAAGTCATGAGATCGTTAATAAACTTTTAGCGTATATACCGATTAATTTTCTAATTCAATCAATCAATCAAACGCTTCGTGATGAGTACATTAAATGCAACTCAAAGGTTTCGCTGCAACGTAGCGCCTCGTGTAATTGCAAAATGAGGTGGTACACCACATAACAACGTGACTGATTAAAACAACTAATGAGGCCTACGATTTATATTTGATAATCAATTTTACTTCTGTTGATCTGATAAAAAATATTAAATTACATAAATTCAACAGGCGTCGGGAATAAGTTCTTTTGTTTTTTCTTAATGTTTAAATTATTCCTGAAATATATTTTCAATCAATACTCTTTAGTACGCGGATACATTTATGCTATTAACATTATACTTCAAACGTTAGCCTAAAGCACTCCAGGAGCGTAAGTGCATTCACTTCAATAAGAACTTAACTGTGTATCGCTGAAATGCTCTAATCAATCTTGTGACAACTGTTCGGTATACAAATAAACGATAGCATTTCATTAATTCAGTTAGGTTTTTATTTTTCAAACAGGATAAGATAATTATTTTCAGGGAATAGATTGGAATGTAAGGAATTGTAAATCGAGCCCAACTGACTCGCAAAAGGATGCATGTAATATTGCACAAGGGCTATCTACATGCCGTTACCAAAATCATATACAATAAATGTATCTATGTTTAAAATTCATTATTTTTGTAACTTTTTTTAAATCAATATTTTAAATAAAATAATTTTAAAAATAATTGTTCATCAGCGTGATGTTAGTTTTACGTTATTTGAGTAATACATTGAAAAAAAGAAGTTAAACCGAAAACATGTTTTATAAATAATTAAGGAGTTAGGTGGAATGAATCTTTGATAAATTAGACAAAGGTAAAAAATCCAACCAGTCGAAGGATTTATCTTACGATCATAAGAGAATAATATCATTTGAAATGATAATGCACCAGACATGAATTCATGTACTCGTGTTCCCAGTATGCACCTACACGTGTACATTGTCATTTCCATTTTTGGCAATGGTTACATTGTTTATAGATACACACGAGCATAATATGAATATTATGACAATTGTAAGTGCACAGCCGTAGATCGTGACTTAATGCATTCACATGTACGAGCGAGATAACTAGACTTGCATTATAAAATAATAAGACATCTGACTTGATTGTGAGCGCAGCATGAGCTTGTTATATACACGTCGAAAGTTGGCGCGCGCGCGATGTGTCTGCCGGCTCGGCAGTAAAAATTCGGTGCATAATTCGAGGTGTGCAGTGCAGAGTGCGGCGGTGTGAAAAATGTTGACTTATTCTCCGGTGCTTATAATCCGATATAATAGTTTCCCTGTTTTAGAAATGTGTTTCAAAATGCGCGCCAAGAGTCGTGCGCGCAACAGAAATCGTAAAACACACACACACACATTAATTAACCTGCTGCAGTAAATGGATATATGACCCACGTGCATGCACAATCAAAAAGGTTATTATGCAAATATACTCGTGAGAAGACGAACTGGTGCAAAGTCGTGATGGAATTATTACGTGAAAAAAAATGAATTTATTCAACTCGTAATATCACACATAATGCATAAATCGGAGAAAGTGTCGATCGCAGCCCGATATCAAAGAACAACAGACAACAACGCCTTGCGTTAAAAGGAACGAAAAGTTATAAGTGCAGAGTTATGTATGCATATACCATACCGTATACATATGTATGTATACCAACGCACATACACCTTGTTGTTATGAGGCGGTAAAAGAGTGACGTTATTATCATTCGATCATCTACATTTGACGTTTGCACCTAATAAGATATGCGCGCATTATACGTTCATCCAAAATCTTGTTCCGGGTCGTAAGAGGCACTTTTGATACCCATGCATGTGACAATAAAACGCGCCATTGAGTCGACATAAGTCATGAGATACAATACCTACCTTTTGTCGTCTTAATCGTGAGTTAACTTAAACTTAAAACCAAGGAACATTGTGACACAGTGATCAGGATGTTTTTAGTGGTTACAGGTAAATTTTATTGATAGTAATCAAGTATAAATATATGTATTATAAGCTTGTGCAGGTCTAATAGTTGTGATTGTTAAATTACGCAGCTATACAATAACATATTAATATTAATTCCCATTTCTCAGGCAGGTATTAGTGCGGCTTACTAATACTAAATTTACATCGATTTTTATATTATTGATTGATTCGTTCGCTTACAATGACGGATTTGTTCGATATTTATAAAATTAATCGCACGCATATGTAACGCAAATTCCATCAAATGCATCATACATAGTAAAAAACAAACGAAAAAAAATTGATCTAAAATGTCGCTGCCCCCAGGCAAACAACAGGAAAACTAAAAATATTCTTTGCCTATTTATTTACACACGCAAACAACTTGTGACAAGCTGCGTGGACTGGTGTCTACTTATTCATGATATTGCGCAGGCCAGCAAAAGTATACTTTTTAATTGGTTGTATTAATGGCTCATACTATGATAAACGAAGAGGAACTAAGCTGTGTATAGGAATGCTCATTACAGGATGCTTATCATATTAAATAATCATCACAGCAGCATCAATTATTTAAACTAAATTTATAATATTATACTCGCTTCATCCGCACCATTCCGAATCAGTAGCAATTTTTTGTGCATTAAAAATAATTGATTCACATATAATTTCATCAGTTTTACTCCTCGGTTTCATTTGTGACATATTTACAAGTACAGGATGTGCGTGTACTCTTCCGTCTGCCAGACACCGCCACCATTATACGATTATATCTTTTGGTGCATTGGATTGTGTCAGGTCGAAAAAAAATTTCCCCCCAAAAAAAAAAGAATCATGCGTAGCTCGGGCATCTGCAGGTATGTCGGAACTCAAGCGCAGTTATCGATCGTTCGCCTTCTCATCGGCGTCGACCGAGATGGTTACCTGCGTTGGGTGGCACGAATCCGTAGCCACTGCCGCCCACGATGACGCCGCTGGTGTCGCGTGGATCCGACGGTGGTCCCGGTGGGAATAAGATCGGTCCTGCAACGATACAAAAAGAACATGGAAAATCAATTCGAGTGGTCAGTCGGAGTAACGCACCTACGTTACGTATATGTGTATGCGTATTATTTGTATCCGCATAACACGAATTCGAACATTGACACGCGAGAGGTTTATCGCCGCTCGTCGATCCAGTACATAAAGAAAGCTGACAATGCCAAGGAATTTTTATCGTCCCGACTCGCATTTACAAGGGCCTGCTAATGGCAATCGCGCAATCAAATATGTCTATACGGCGGTACACAATTAGCGCGCTGTAACATATACATAATAAGCCGCTGACCTATTGCTTATCGAAGACCTTTTAGCGGCGCGTCGAGTGCGTGCTGACAACTCAACAACACGCCAGGAGCTGAAATTTATCGTCCCGACATTCGGTAGTCCGCGTGCGCGCAACTACATGCGCCAGGCTAAACTCGAGTACACGTTGTAGACCCACGAACGATGCCTATAATGCGAGCATGAAAATTTATAACACATTCCGTCGTTTAACTCCTTGACAAATTGCTGCTTAATCAGCCATTTTTTTTTCTCCGTTGCGCGCGGTTGGTAATAAAATAATTACTACAAAAAGCGTAGTTCGCGCTAAAACCGCGACTTGGCAAATGAGTGTAAGAAAAATATCAAACGCCCTGATTATACGTCTGTGAAAAACCGATACATTTATCCATTTTCAGTACAAACTATTAGCTAAAGTTAATAGAAAAAAAGTTGATTCGAAGTGATTTGAATAATGATATATTATAAAAGTGGCATATTTCCGTAATTAAAAGTCATTTATTTTACTCGATATCACTGGCTAGATCCACGCAGCGATTATCCCTACTACCTTATACGGTCTTAGAAGGTTGTTAAACAGTCGTGCGTTTGACTTTATTATCTTAATTCATAGCTTCAATGGCTAATAACTGCGTATTATGATGGAATTTTCACGCGAAATCGCGAAAATTTACATACACAGCTGCGACCTTCACTAGACCTGCATTTTACGAGAGATGATTTAATAATAATCAATAGCATCGTTTCAGGGACGATATCACTTGGATTTTCATTTCAACGCGACAAGTCGTAGATTTTCTATACAGTGGTTTATCCAGGGTGCAATGAATCTACAGTCACAGCTGCTAACATTTTTTAATTAGATCGGTATGTTTCTTTTTTTTGCGTACTATGCACATTGGTTTTGTGGTCGGCGATAAAGTTTCGGTTGATCGCTGATGTGTGATATTTGAGGTTGGTTTAACGTTTCTCTGCGTCCGAAGCCACCGCGGTCAGATTTTTAATTTGCGTAAGTGTAATAAGCCACTGAAAAGGATCAAGGGAAGTGACAAAAAAGCACGTAATTGTTATTGCAAAACATTCACATCTCGATCGGCTCGTATTCACTTGAGACTTGATTAAGTTTGCTGGATTATTTTCATTCGCGCGCGCCGAGGTACAAAAAGTTCCGCGACATTGCAAAACTTGGCATTCTTATCGAAATAAATAAGGATAAAAATAATCGGTATTCTATTTGGAATTCCAGCAGCGGGAGAACGAAAATGCCAAGGGAGAGCGAACTTTTGTTAGCATTAGTTACGCACCGAGAGAATATTAACACTGCGCGGTCGGACCGCGCGCGGGGCATTACGTAAAATTGGCAAATTTCCACATTTACCTGCACACACACGACACTGACGGGCATGCGCGTGTGTATAATGGAGGTTTGGCACTAATGCATCAAGCGGCTGCAGCAGCAGCAGCAGAGAGCGATATAATAAGCAATAGAACTTATACTAGAAGCTGTCGCCCGATTAACAATACAAATGGGAAAGTAAAGGAGGTAAAAGCGTGCCCGGAACTAATGCGCCGCGATATATCGCAATGCAGTGTGCCCGTGCCAGTCGAGAGCGAAGCACGACACATAAAAATGCAGATAATGACGCATTGCTGCTATTTATCATTTACAAGCGAGGATTACACGAGTGAAAAATGACAAGTACACGCGTTTGTTTAGCAATGCTGCCGCGAGTGGATCGAGTCGGGCGATCGCGTGCTGCATTAGATATGGGCGAAACCAGTTTTCCAATGGCAATTTGTACATATTTATGAGATATTTTCGTGTGCGAATCTACGCAGCTTTCTCACCTGTGTTCGCTCGTGGATCCCTCATGTTGACGAAGCGCGAGGCCGTCAGCTGAGACACCGGCCTGATGTAGGGCGCGAAACCGTAGAAGAAGGGGTTGTAGTTCTGGTAGGACTGTGACTGTGACGCGCCGAGCACTGCCGCCAGAATCGCTGTGATCAGGGCTATCCTCTGTAAAAAAAGGCACAATTTGCAACGTTACTCGTTACTCAACGCTCTACGCGCATTATGCTTCATTACGCATTCGCACAGCATCTCATTCCCACTGCTATATCGAGTGTCGCACCTTAGGACATAATCATTTCGAGTTTCGCAAAAAAAAAAAAAACAACGTCAGCAAGGAGTAAGATAAAAAAGGCAGAAAATTATCTTAAGCTCGGCTTGTAATATTAAAATAGTTTTACTCTGCAAATAATTTCTGCGCTAGCCGTTTAAAAGCCGCGTGCGTAAAGACTGCCGTGACGTGCAGTCGTATATGCATACACGCGTGATAAAGCAAGGCCACGTCTCAATTAATTAAAAAAAGTGCATGCAAAACGGAGGCAATGGCGAATTCGTGATTTACATCTTCATTTAAGTCTTGCGATGTCTAATCAGCCGCAAGTATATAGAGTAAGTTGCGAGTGAAATGTGCGGCAACGCGGCCTAATGACCGAGTACCAGTGCCGCGCTCGATCGTGATCGATCGTTTCAAGGGTGAGCGCGGATCGCTGCGATGTGTGCCTCGGAATCAGAGACGACGATCGGCAAGATTCATATCGTGATCGGAAAAAAGTATCGCTCGTCGCCCGACACCAAAAATTATGCGCCAATAATTTTAATTTCTGTTTTCTCATCCAACGTGGAGGGAAGGGGATGAAAAGCCGATAATTCATTAAATCCAGCCTGAAGGCACTTTGCGCCGTTTAAACTACTCCGACACGTATTAAATCTTATCGACGCCCAGAGCTCTTGCCAGGATTATTTATTATTTTCATATCAATTATTCGCGCTAATCAAAGTCGTTTTGATAAGCGAGACTTTATTATGCTAGGATACGTTGAATTTCCATCGATCTTACCCAAGCTGTCATTAGCGTTTGTTCGCGTGAAAGTAAATGAATTGGGACTAATAAGCGATGAAAATCATTGAGTATGAATTGTCTAATTTGTATAGCTCTTTGTGACGCGTAGCATTTTGCTTATTAAGTGCCAAGACTATTAATTTTGTCCTGATTACCGCATAGAACAGCCAATGTAACTAAGATGATTCGTGAATTTCGAAATGGAAAAAAAATAATTGAGAACTACATCGGATATCGTTATCAAAGGCAACCCACGTGCGTATACGAATTAAATGTTATCGGCCTATCCGATCTTATATAAACATCTACGAAATAAAAAGGCTCGTGTACGCCGGCCGACAATCAAAGTAAATGATTGGGCATCGAGCCGAACGGCTATATTATAATATCAAGTCGATATCCGAACGCCGATCTAGAGATCGAAGCCGACTGATTTTGCGTCACACGATCCATATAACTGCGCCTCGTTCGTAAGAAAGTTGCGCACACGTATATATACATCGAGCCGAGGCCGCCGCTGCCACCGCAACGCCGCAGAGAGCTGTCCGTGCTGTTACAATTGCGCGAATCGATGCAAGTGTGAATTATTCCGAATAGCTTCCATAATATGCGTTATTGCATTAGCAAGAAAAGACGAATCGGTTCTTTCGATGCGCGCGCGTATAATGTGCAAGTGCACGCGGAAGCGTGTCCGAAGAACTGTTACGAAAATGCGTAATACGCGTATACACCATACACGAGGTAGCGAAAAAAATGAACTCGCGTCTTTATCTCCGAGCGAAATCGTAATTATACACGTCTATATTTTGATAGAGGCGTACATAGCTAATGCGAAATGAAAATTAATGTGCATCGCCGGCAGATTATTACGCCTCGGCGTTTCAACGAGATAATGCGCGTGCCCGCGCTAAAGTACACGTAATTTCGAAAAACGTGAAAAATTGCCCAACCGCACGCGATACGTACGAGAACTCGTACGAATTACGCGCCCGGTGCGAACTATAAAATTGGTATTAATAAATCGGCCAACGTTTTGTTGGCGGGGGGCCTATAATATTTACATGCGCCGAGGAACGATCGTTTTTGGTATACGGCAAAAGTGGATTGGAACTGTGGTGACCTAGGCGCTCCGTGGACTGCGGTATAGCTGCACCGCTGCAGATCGTACAGCGATGCGATCTCGCAGTCACGCTGATCGCACATGTATGCCGCCGCAGCCGCCGCCTGGTGCATTATATGCTTGCATATGGTACTCGTGCACGTACAGCCGCCAGTGAGAGAGAGAGAGAGAAAAGGAAGAAAAACAATAATCTGCTCTCGCGATGCGCGTCTGAGCGTAATACGAACGATATACAAAGCGATATTCGTCCAAGGCGATGCGATGCGATGCGAGCGCCTGGTAATTTATTGCACGTGTGTGCGTTACAATAATCGCTGAACGAGCATGTGCGCACGCGGTGTCGACGGCGGCGAACTTGACACTATTGAGCATCGAACTTTTTCATTCACAAGATCTACCTGACTTGTATTTTTTTTCTCTCGCTACCAATCCGATCGATATGTATATACTTGGTCGTTGCGAGCAGATCTTACTTAACGAAGCCGCTTATTTAATCGTCTTGGCATTTTTTCATTTTTTTTTACTCTTCTTGAGGATGCCGTTGCTCCTATGGTTGGTTTTTACGTCCCATTGCTCAAGCGTTCGTTAAACTAATGTCCATTGGAGGATTCATAAATATATGCGTGTAATTTTCCCCTCTGCGCGTACCGATGCATTTTTGCGCTCTCACACTTTTTTCACAATGTCTGAGTTGTTGCAGTTGTTTTTTTGTAACTTTCAAAGAAATAGTTATATTTAGATACATAATCGAAGGCGCGAGATTCGCATTATAATATAAATATACACCTGTTACGAAATTTCCGATTCGCGCATTGTCCTGCGTCTGCTCTATATTACTATTGCACAAGCCGCGCGCGATACGTGTACACAAAGTGCCACGTACGACATAATAATATATATAAGAAATTAGAAAGAGGCAGCAGCAGCCCTACGTTGTTGCTTTTTCCCTGCCTTTTTTTCGACCACCAATTTTACACGCAACAAACGTATTTAGCAAGTGTAATTAAGCTTTTGCAACGATGTTTAGCTGTACATATATAAGTTTTATAAACTCGCTTGTGGGTATATCTAAATGCAGTTAACAATAGCTGAGCCGCGAGTCGCCCCGCTAGGCTGATGTGAACGCGTGTGTGCATGTAAACCTTTTCCTCGAAAATTAAACGATTAAAAGCGTGACGACGACAGTCTTAGTGTATGTATGTGTGTGTGTGTACGCGACTTGCATCACGCGCGCGTATATAAAAGTTATTATTTCTTTTTTTTTTCCTTTTTCTTATTTTTTTTTGTTCACCCCGGACGACGTGAGTAACGTGTGAAACTCGAAAGCGCGCGTAGGCATGAGATTATTGTATTTAAACGCGACTTCTTCTGGACTCTCTCGGCGGCGGCGGTGGCAGCGCGACCTTACCTTTTTTCTATCTTAATCTCGCTCTTTTTTTCTTTCTCTAATGCATCGAGCATATAATCACCGTTGCATTTTGATCGCCGACTCGCTCGACGCTTCTCAAGATACATCCTCCGATCCATGTTTTCTTAATTGATTCACGACTATCAAGGTCTGTAATATAAAGTCGTTACACTATTTGCTGATTCAAGATACGCAGAATGAAATCCATCGTGTTTTACCGTTAGAGTGTAGACCGCAGCAGAAAAGCTCACAATTTAAATAGGAGCATCTAATTTGCGTTTATGAAAAACTCGAAAGTCAAACAATTGATCCAATGCAAATTGCATGTAATTAGCCCGTCATGCCAAAGATGCAAGTGCACGCAGCTCTCGGTGAAAGTAAGCGTTTTACTCATCTTCGCTCGCACGCGTGGGCGTTTCGCGCCTCCTAAATAACCGATCGACCGATCGATCGATCTGCGCTATGCTTCTCGCGCAAGCTCGTGATTTTTTGCTCGACTGCCGTACACTTGCCCAAGTGGCATATGATTTCGATTGTTTATTTATGGCTGCAGTGGCAAACAGCGCGACCTCGAGAGTTTCGCGTCTAGGAAAACCTAATCTTAAATCGCTGTAACTCCGTCTCCGAGTATGCGTGTATATGTTGGGCTGCCGCTGCCTTACTTCGCATAACTTCAAATTTCATAATTCGCGGGCGCGCGCACACACTCGCTCTCAAATCACTTGTCTAACACACATGCGTGGCTAAGTATACGGGAAAAATATTCGATTAAAATTTCGCTTGCAAAACACAGTGTTTAAATCAAGTGCAATCATAAAATTAGTAAGTCACCAGTGAAAATTGAACAAATATTTTAATTAAAACGAGATCGGCAATTATCATGCTAACTGACACGACGAATTATTGTACTCACCTACGCTCTGCATACACAAGCGTAAGCTTTCGATTGTAATATTTTTCAGCTCGTGAGACTCGTTCTTTATTTTTTTTTTATATAAGTCAAACGTGTTATTCGACCATTGGCAAAAAAGCCAATTTTACGCCCGATTATATCCGATATACGCTGCTCGATTAGTAATTGGCAATACTAATACCAGTATTATATGGGCTTCGCTTGGCGTATACCCACATATTTATGTTGATGGCAAAAATATATATTTAAGTACTGCTTTCACGACAAAGTTTGCCGAGTGTGTGATTTTATGCAACGATGATTATAGCCTTTGTCAATTGGCTATTATAATATATGTAATCGCGCGCCTACCGGACACTTATGTGCGCTACCCAAATCACAGCGCGGCATTAGGCTCTCATGAGCATGTGGTGCATACTCTACTATAAGTGCATGCTCACAGACAAAGTAACTTTGCGAGGAAAGAAACAAATGTTTATCATTGGGAGGTTCTGCCCGCTGCATGTACGTATAATATTCAACAATTATTTACATGATTGCCCGAGCTGGAGTTTTTCTTTCGGTACACACGCGCTCGTTTACGCACACTCACATAGCATTAAGCGCAGCAGCTGGTGGGGACTTTCGTATTTCGTAATCTTGGCCGTGCACATACACGCGCTTTATT